CAAAAGAGATGCTCATTAATTGGGACGAAAGGCTCTTGAAGGCCGTTGCACCCCATTTCTCCACTGGTGGGGAATGACCCCCAGTGTTGGATCCGCATATGTCTCTGTACCCCTGGCCAGTGCTGGGCGAGCACACGCATGTCTCCTTTTCTTGTCGAAGCGCCACGGACCAGGCTTTCTAAATGTGAGTTCACTGTTCCTTTCAAGTCCCTCCTAAGAACACAACAGTATTCACTGGGCATCACCTACGGTCCTGCAGTCGCTGGGGGTGCGCTCATTACCAACGCGCGTAGTCTAGCCTCGCACTGCACGTTTTCATTCATTCACTTCATGTGATCTGCCTACGTTCATTATTTTGTACCCAACTTCATTTTATTTCTCAATTTCAACTTTTTCCAATGAGTCTTTGCTATTCACGGCACAATATCCTAGGATAAACATTCTCATGATAGGGCCACATCATATCTCAGTTGCCCGAAATCTTGTGTTTATACGTCAAGATTTTTAACATAATTTTTAACAGCACCATTTTCATTCTTGAGAAGTATCCCAGTTAGAATGATACATTTTCTGGTCAAGGAGCATACCTTAAACGTTTACCAAAAATTGTATTTCATATTTCTAAGTTATACCTGAAAATCCCAGCCCCAACATCTGCACACTTGTCAGCTAACAAGCTTTCCTTTTATTTTGAAAGAATTCAGCTTGACTATGGAGAATTTTCAATAAAATGAATAGTTGCTCTCTGCATGGACGGTGGGGCCAGCACCACGGGGACTTAAGTTAGGTTACCTGGGGCGGCCGAGAACCTTCCTACCAGGCCAGCACATCAGCAAATGCAAAGTGGCCATGCTCACACCCATGACCGTGCTCCCCAGACGCAAGCATATTTCTTTCATACTTGGGTGCCTCTGCTTCTCTGTCTCTGGAAAAGCACAGTAATGTCCTCTGTGGGCCTCTTCCGGACAAGGAGAAGCCACCAGGAGCTGAGCCTGATCCCATCATGACCAATGTCCAGGAGGCAGAGGACAGGAGGGCAAGGCCGAGGCTAATGCACTGTGGTTACAGAGCAACAAGAAAAGCTCAGCGCAACCGAGGGGTCATGACAGAAAATCGGGAAAAGCAAACATCTTGGTTAAAAATAACCTGTGAAGATTCTACACCAGAAACAGCTTCTAAAGAACCATCCACATATTCCGTGCTGACTTGCTAGAATAACACCCTCAGTTTTCCCAAGGAGGTGGGCCCTGTCCCGAATGCCCAGTGGTGGACCAATGGCCATTTTCAGAGTGGACCCAATGGTCGAGCTTCTATTTAATCTGCGCTCATCTGTAAGGTGCCTTCAATGGCGAAGCACAGGCCACGGAGCTGGACACGGGGGCGTGGTCTTGGCATCCACATCATGCCCTCCTGAGCTGAAGGCCGGACCCGGGGGAGCAGGAAGGGCAATGCTGCTCTGCTGAACTCGCAGCCACGTGGATGGGCGCCCTTCCGCACGTTATTACATGCCACAGCATCAGTACAGGCGGCGGCAAATAGCAGAGCTGTGGCCGCACACGGCGTCGCCCGGCGAAGGCTGTGTCACCTGAACCCTCCAGAGCACCCCGCAATTGCACAGAAATTCAAAAATCAATTTGCTAATGGGCTTGGCTGGAGATCACTCTTTAGTGCTCGGATCCAGCTGAAAGGCATTTTGGAATCCACCAGTCTCTCCCCGGGCCTCTTCAATCAGTGCCAAGAGTCGGGGGGCATTGTAAAAAGACTGTGGACTCCACAGTCAGTGAGACTTGGGCTCCAGTTATAGCTGCGCCCTCTCACTGACTCAGGATCAGTCACGCGCCTCTCTGAGAAACGGGCTTCCTCATCCACCAGCCTGGCGGAGGCCGGGAGGGCGCAAAGGCCCAACCAGCGTCAGAGGCGCTATACTTAGTTTGACCTTTTCAGTGCAGCTATAAATGGCCCGGAGTGAGAAGCCGCCCCCCAAACCATCGGCTCCCTCGCTCCACGTAAGCCACATGGACAAGCAAGATCAAGTGAGAACAGTTTTCAAAACATCAATATAAAACGCTTCATATACTCTACCACAATAGGGGCCTTAATTTAAGCATCTGGAAGAACTAAACTGTTGTAGTGTAAGAATTCGTGAGTGTCAAAGCTTTTCTAGTTCATGATGTGTACAAGTTTGTGCATGTGGAACTCACGCACATGACTCACCTCTTGAGCCCACACCCCAACTTGGCCATTCACGGTGGGCAGGAGCCAGGCCCAGGCTGGAAGGTGCTCAGAGCCCGAGAGCCCCCTCATCCCACAGTGGGGAGAACTGGGGCTCGGGGGACTTGCTTGTCCACAGTCAGGCCGGGATAGCCTTGGCTCAGTACGGGCAGCGGTGAGGCCACTGTCAACCATGCCTGTGACCAAAGCCACAGGCGCCGGCCACAGAGCACTAGAAGCCGATCACCACGGCCATGTGGCCGGCTGGGTCCTGGAGCCACACGCCTCTGCCCACAGAGGAGCCTGCTGGGACAGGGCAGTCTCCTTTCACATTGGCAAATTGATGTGGGGCCTGGTTTCCAGCATGTCTGGGGGTTAATAAATCTGAAAGACCGAGAACAACCATCAAGGGACACTTTGGACACAGGTGAGACATGTGCCTCCCATGGCAAGACTGTGGACCTCAAATAAATAAGCCCTGATTTCACCCGCAAGAAGGGTTTATTCAGGAACAACACCAAATGATTTGGAAAGAGGTCTGGGGAGAACCTCACACAGGTCATAAGGACAGAGGGACAGAGAGAAGGTTCTTTCAGAGAGGTGAGAGGGGCTGCCTGCGGGAAGAGGCCAGCTTCACCCTGGCTAGGCTGCTGCTGGGGTGGGGGGCGGCTCTCCTGGCCACCCCCACAGGGCTGTTCTGGGGACACTGCAGAGCCTGCCTCTCCAGCTGGATCTGCAGGTGCCAGGGCACCTCCCCAGCCTCCCCACCTCAGGGTTGTTCATTTTCACAAGACGCTGCTCGGCCTACGATGGAGACATTAACTGAACACAGTTCCTAATCGGAATGTCAACAAATCAAATATTGAGCACGTTTTTAGTGGCCATCATGCTTTTTTCTAGGAAAATCAGATTCTTCATTTAATGTTCTGAGCACAGAATGTTTAAACACTGACCAGTGATTAGCCCAAATGGACCAAGATTTGCAAGCACCTCAGCAGAATTAGGTCCCCTGTTTCATGACTCCAACTATTTATCACCGTCAGTGACGAACCTTGGTTCCACCCACCGTCACCCCCTTATCCAAGGTTTCGCTTTGCACCGTTTCAGTTGCCCATGGTCAACCGTGGTCCGAATATGTGACAATCAATAAGGTATCCTAAGAGAGAGAGGCCACGTTCACGTAACTTTTATTACTGTAGATTGTTATAGTTTTTCTGTTTTTTTATTAGTTATTGTTGCTAATCTCTTCCTGGGCCTAATTCAGGAAGTGACCTTTATTGTAGGTGTGTATGGACAAGAACGAAGTGTACACAGGGCGTGGGACTGTCCTTAGTTTTAGGCATCCTGGGGGTCTAGGATCTACCCCTCCCCAATAAAAATAAGGGCCTACTCCATGGAGTTAAGGAGACATTCTGTCCTGAATAAAATGATTTAGAGACAGTTGTCCTGAGGCCGATTTCAGGCTCTAAGATGCTGCAATGCTTAAAGCAGCTTTACATCAAGAGCCCCAAGGGAGACACCCTTCAAGGCCAGGGTCAGGTGGAAGCTGGAGGAGAAATGAAGTCAGGGAACCTTAGGTGTGTAGGGCTGAGGGGAAGGAACTGGGGCTCTGCTGGAGACCAGCGAGGCAGAGCGGTGTGGAGAAAGGCAGGAGGGGGCGGGCGGGGCGAGCCGGCAGAGAGCGCCATCTGCACAGGTACCCTGGGGAAGCGTGGCCACCTCAGATGCGGAAGTGAGGGCACACTCGTGTAGAAATGACCACACAAAGCAGCTCTTATAGCCACAGCCCCCCGCGGCCACTCACAGTGGCCTCCCAAGGGGCTCCTGCCAGGGCTGCAGGTCCTGCTTTGTGAATCACTTGAACTGGGGGTAATTTTTTAATCAAAGGACCCGAGGTTTGGAAATTTACAGGGAAGTTCTGTTCAGTTATATAACTGGATCAGCAGATACACAGGGGTTAGATTTTATTCTGTTTAAAACATGTTAGTTGAGGGGCCTCCCTGGTGGCGCAGCGGTTGAGCGCTGGGTTGCGAAGCTGCCCTCGGTCTCCACGGCGCCGGTTCGATCCCCGGCTGCTCCACGGCCACCAGAGGAGGGTCCCACATGGCGCGCAGACCTCTCCTGCCGCCCGCTGCTCCCCTCAGCAGTGTCCTTCGGTCCTTCTGCCTGCTCTGCTCCCCGCTCTGGCTCTGGTGAATTCTCTCACCCTCCCGCGCTTCTGACTGTACCCAGTGCTTGTATAAACAAAACAAACAAATAAATAAATAAATAAAACATGCCTCTATAAAAAATAAATAAATAAAATAAAACATGTTAGTTGATGTTTTCTCCCCAGGGATGTGCTCAGGAAGAGAAATGGGCCCTTCCATTGGACTGGTGTGTGGGATAACAGTTCAAAACTCATTGAACCCCAGTCTTTAAGGAAGATATCGGGGGGAAATCCCTCCTAGGATAGGAAAAGTCAAACCCTGCATGACCAGGTTAATTGAGTGTGGACGTAAGAAATAGCAAATACTCAGCCTGACGTCCGGTTTGCCCCCTGCGAAAAGCAAGCATGCTAAACTCTACAGAATCAGTTTTCTGACCCCAGAAACACCAAGAATTTGATAGGTTTTGGGGGGTGCTTTTTTTTTTTCTTTTTTGGTTTTGTTTTGTTTCTGGCTGCAGTGACTTGTAAATATCTAGAAGAGCCCAGATTTTGAAGCCCCTGAGGACACTTGCTGAAACTCAGAAATTTGGCACCGGCCTTTGAACACAATTTGGGTTTTCTTTCAAAGCTGATATCTTACCAAATAGAGCCATCTGCGTTCCCTCTGGGAAAGGTTCGACTGTTCTGTTGCCATTGACATGATGTTTGGCTAGAGAAAAAAAAGAGAGAGAGAAAGAAAGAAAGGCAAGTTAAGTGTAAAGTTCTACACACATACTAACACATGTCATTAAATGTGTCAAAGAGCCTGGTTGTTATTTTTAGTTAGAAGTGGCACCAGCTTCCCCCTTAAGAGCGTTTCATTATTATGCTTTTATTCTCAGTTGGAAGAGCCTAGAGGAGGTCTCTTGTTTGACACTGCCCCAGCCTGCAGCGCCTTCTGCCGCCGCCGAGCCAGCTGCCTGAGCAGGGACCCCTGCGCCTGGCCAGGCCCTGGGGAGCAAGGGGACCCCCCGCTGCAGGCAGAGTGGCGGTGACCTGCCCTGGAGGACCCGATGATCAGCTCAGCGGCCAGGTCAGGAGAGCGGGCTGGTAGGACATGGGAACAGCGGGGAGTTTCCAAAACCAGAATGTCAGGCCACGCGGCTTCCCGCAATCTTCCACTATCCCTAGGGCCAAGGGCGCTGGGCTGGCAAGGCCGCGTGGACGGCCCCTGGCTTCCCGGTGGGCCTCGCCCACCCAGCCCCTGCATCCTTCCCGCCCCAGTGCAGACTTAGAAATGAAAGGGACCAGGATCCAACTCCGCAGCATCGACTTGTTCCCACAACCTCCAAGCTGTGGCCAGGAGGAGGCTACCGAGCATGGTCCGCCTAGGTTCTTCTTCACCCCCAGTGTTCCAAGGGGAGCACCGCCGCCACCTCGGAGCGCGCCTTTCTTGATTTAGTGGGTCCCCTTAGCTGCACTCAGTTCTGGCAAAGGGCTCAACACTAAACCCAGGCTCTGAGGGGCTGGGGCAATAGGACCTTTCCCGGAGGACACCCTCTTGCGCAGGCAAACATCCCAAAGGCAAACTGCCAGGGGGGTACAGTTCTGCTCGAATCCTGGAGCGGGGGTTGGGAAGGGCCACCAGCAGCAGGGGGAAGAGACGAGCCCAGGGTCTCAAGGGAGTGGGAGGGTGTGGGAGGCGCGCGGCCGAGCATCTTGAGCGAGAGCCAGGAGCAGATGGACACGAGGTGCACCCGGGGAGCGTGCCGGGCTGGGCGCCGCGGAGCTGACATGTTGGGGACAGCTTAGTCGGCAGGGTCCGCATCACAGGGCGCCAGAGATCCCGCCCACGCCCTGGGGAACCTGGGCATCTCTGCAGCACCCGCATCCTCGGAGACTCAGTCTCTTGCCCACCTCCCTGCGACCCCACCAGTGGGGGGTGCCCGGGGTCCTGCTGGCTCTACCCTCAGAACAGAAAGCCAGGGAGAGGGAAGGAGTCCACCCAGCGGGCCCGCGCGCCGGCCTCCGAGCGGCATCTGGGCACCTGCCACTCATGGGGGACACTTGACGACGGGCGCAGGCGCCTGGCCCCAGCAGGCCATCACGAAGGGGGGCCGGAGTCAGGAGCCCACTGCCGGGGCGAGGCTCTGTGGGGGCGCAGTGCTGCAGCTAGCACCCCACAGGTTCTCGGAACCTCTGCCTTTACACAATCAAAAGGTGGAAAGCCACTCAAGCTCTTTGACTAATCATACCCCTGTGATTTCATCTGAGGGAAAAATGCAAGAGAAAGACAAAGGTGATGCGCACAGTGCTGTGGTATGTACTAACGTGGTCGCCGTCCCGATGGAATCTGGAGATCAAGTAAACACCCGAAAGTCGAGAGATGTCTTAGAAAATTCTAATTCGTAATTTATCAAAAGAGTGGAATATTGTGTGACATGCTCTACATACGGCGTTTGAGAGGCATACAGGAATGTGGGGGGCGGGGTGCTGGGGATACCCGTGAGTGAAAACAATCCTGTTACACACTGGATGTAAATTATAGTGACAACTAATTAAAACATAAATACTTCAGGGGAAAGACTGGCGGGAAAACAGGCAGCAGTGGAACCAGCTAGGGAGATCACACAGGATGTTTATCTTCATTAATTTCCTTGGTGATTGCTGGAGTCTTACTGTCCAGATGAAAACGTTTGCCTGGACTCACGACCATCAACACAACGCTCTCTTCCTTTAAAGGGTTTTCCACAGTAGCTGATTTCCCAGGTCAGGCCATCAAGGCTGAGTTACAGCCTGGCCGACACACCACACCAGTGCACCTGCTCTCACATCCCTGGGACACCCCGAAAGTACCTTCCATCACCCCCGCCTGGGAGTGGAATTGCCCCTCCCCTCGCTCACGCTGGCCCAGAGCCTCTCCCACCCTCTCCTGCCTCCTCCCCACCACGTCCAGGCACAGGGCCTGCCCTGTGGGCGCCTTAGGCCCTTTCACTTCTTCCCTCACATCCTTCCCCACTATCGCGGCCTCCGACAAGGGCCGCCTGCTCGTCTACATGCCCGATGTGGCCACCGTTCTCTTGCTAAAGAAAGAAAAACTATAGTTACCGGACACAGAAGTCCCGCGCCCAGCCCCGCCCTCCATGACTTCCCCTGCTCTCGGGTTAAAGTCAGACTCTTGGGCTTGGCCCTCCAGGACCCGCAACAGGTCCAGCCCCTCCGTCCTCTGTCCCTGCCGCCGCCGGCCTGCTGCTCCCAGGACCAGTGACAGGCCATGTGCTCAGGGAGGGCCGGGCTCACGTCGCCTGCACAAAAATGACCATCGACAATTCCAGCCAGGTGGCCTCGCCTTAAATGCCCACCCTCTTCCTTCCTTGCATGGACGCCCATCTGGGAAGGCTGGGGTAGGTAGGTAGAGAGAAAAGCTCCCACCCTGGGAGAAAAAGTCACCTGTGGCCTCTCCTCCCCCAGGGTTCCCCTGGACCCCATGGGCGCTTTCACTCTAGGGTCCCAGGCCCAATGATAACAGGTTCTGTAAAACTTGACCTTGTGTTTTCCCCTGAGCTACAGCCAGCCTGGTCAGTCCCTGAGCGTGGACACAGCCGTAAGGGGCAGGTGACAGCACCTTGGCAGAGACGAGATGCACAGTGACTCCCTCTCTTGCTGCCCCAGCGCCCTCAGTCCCCGCCCCAGCGAAGCGACTGGGACAGGGCCTGGGTCTCAGAGACCCCATGTGGCCAGCTGCGCACCCGGAGAGAACCGCCTTTTCCACCGCAAGAGCCGAGTCAGCCAGCCGTGCAGGCACGACCTGGCCCCGGCCCACGCCTACGTCGCATCCCCCACAGCGCACAGTTCACCAGCCCCGGTGCGACCACACCCCTCGCTAAGAGTGCCCCCAGCTTGGCTTCCGGGTTAGTGAGGGCAGGTGTGACGACATCCCACGGCCCATCCTGGTCTAAGTGCGCAGAACAGAAAACCGGTCCAAGAAGGCAGTCCTCGTTTCCGCACGATGAACACCACCTGTGTATGAACCTCCGGCCCTGGAGAGCTTCGGGGGCGGGGGAAGGGGAGCTGTTGAGTGCGACTGTCCAGCCCCTGATGAAAGAATCGGGTGTTCTTACAAACAAGCAGCAGCAGCGCTGTTCCCAGAAACCCAGGCTGAGCCTCCAGGGGCGTCTCCCCTTTGAAACTCTGCTGAGGCAGGTGTCTGGGGGGTCAAAGAGTCAGGAACCCTTCAAACGCATTGTATAGGTCAAACGAGATTTGGGGGGAAGGGAGGGCTCCCCTGCCTAATTGACACACATTTCCTCCCCCCAAAAATTGACAACACATTGCACCAGAGAAACAAGCCAACTTACTAAACAGAAAGTCACCCACTGACTGGGTGCTAACTATTGATCACCAGCAGAGCATGAAATGGGGACAGGAGGGGCGCCGTGGGGACATCTGTCGCCTGGCCACAGCAGGGCCATGCCTCCAAGCTGGCGGGCTGGGCAGCTGTCCCTGCCCGCGCCCCAGGGGGCTGTTCCGAAGGCCCGGCTTGCGAGGACAGCCTCTGCCGAGGGCGCTGACGTGGCCTCCTCGGTCAAGGGTACGTGAGGACGAGGAATAGGTTTTCATTTATCTTGAAAGCCCAGTGCTGGAGGAGCAGCGAGGTTAATGAGAGCAAAACTGGGTCAAAGTCAACCTCTGAAGAGGCTCTGAAGGGGATCTGGGGGGCAGGCTCAAAAGCTTCAGAAGGAGGCACTGACTTCTCGTGTTCTGTGAATGTCCAATGCCCTTCAAACTTCAGTGCCGTTTTCTTTCTTGAGAAAGGTACAATAAAACTGCTCGGCAGCGTGTCTGCCACCTTGTGAAATCAGACACAGCCAGTGAGCAGCTCCCGCCTGGGCTCAGACGAGGAGAGGCCGGGGTCTTCTCTCCCGGGGAGCTGCAGTCTCCTGTGGGTCCGGGTGGCCATGGCCACACATCCCAACTGGTGATTCCAGGCACCGCCGCTGCTGTCCTGGGCAGCCCCTGGACCGGGCGCCTCCGGGACAGGAACATTCTGGATCGAGCGACAGGTCAGCTGTGGTACCAGCCGCAGCCACTGACCGCAGCGGGGCTGTGTCCCTGCCCACCACTCAGGCTGCCACGAGCCCGTCGGGGGTGACTGGAGTCAAGGGCGCTTGAGGAGTGAGGGGCATCTATTCCAGCGTCCGGGTAATAAACCTCTGTCCAGCCCCCAAGTAAACACGGTCTGGCAGCCGTCCCACTGCTGGTTTCTCTGTGGCCCTTTCAGAGTCTTGACCTCTCGAGGTGCGTGTCGGCCGGGGACAACGTAGGGTTCACACATGGCCATGCGTGCCGGCCTGGTTGGCTCTCCCACCTCCAGCAGAGCGGCCCTCACGCCAGGACCCAGCTGCCAGGTGCAGAGAGGAGGGGGCAGGAGTCCAGGCCATCATGTCACAGGGCAGGGCCCAGGGCCCCCGGGGCTTGCACTGTCTTGTCGCCAGGTTATCCTATAACTCGGGGCTGCTGTGTTTGAAGGGGAAAGTCCACCCAGCGTGGGTTTGGCCCAACAGACTGCTCTGTCTGTGAGGGAGAGGGGTCAGCAGGCGGTGGGCAGGCCACAGGGAGGATGCTGCAGCTGAGGGCAGCCACTGGGCCGCCCAGCCGGCGTCCCTGAGTCCTTGCGCTGAGGCGGGGCGCAGGCGCGGCTGGGAGGGGGCCCGATGGAAGTTCCCTGGA